TATATATATACACATACATCTAGACATATATACATAAACACCCTTACCTTGTAGAACCTCTATACTTTGGATCTATGTTAACCCTTACAGAAACCCAAATCCTCTAATCCCTGAAGCTTGAAACCCTAAAGCAAAACCCTCAGGTGTCTTGCTGCATGTGCTGCAGATACCATGTGTCAGGGCCACAGGTGCAACAGTGATATGCTGCATCGTTTTGTCACAGCATGATAAACAAATGCATCAAAACACACTTTCGATTTTGTGGCTCCAGATCAAAAATAGTTTAAATAACTGGAGCCTTTTGTACAGTTGCCCTTTTGGCATCATGGCCCCAAAGAATAAGGCCAAGGCTGCTCCGAAGACGGAGCCGAAAACTAAGAGGGCCAAGTCCGGTGCCTTGGTGATTGGAGATGATCCCACACCGGTGGAGATGAAAGCCAGCATTCAGAGGATGCTGAATCTTGTGAAGTACAAAGCCGACCCCGTGAGAAACAAGAGTGGGGAGTGCCAGAGCGAAGCCCAGCAAGTGCTGGAGGCCGGGTTGCAATTCTCCACTTGCTATGCATTACATTTTTTTGTGGGTATTGCATGTGCCAGGCCTACCGGCAGATCGCCGACTCGGACCGAAAGGGATTCATCGCTGCCTACCAGAAGAATGGCCTTAAGGACTTGAAGTGGGTGGGCCAGTACACCAAGAAGGTTGTGAAGGAGGAAGCCGAGGAGGATGTCTCTATCAAGGGCATGATGACAGCGACTCTTAGATTTTATTTTATATAGGTTGCTTGGTCATTTTGTTTTTAATGTTTTGTTTTGCAATGTCGCTGAGGTCGCGAATTTTTGGCCTGAATGGCCTCAAGATCAGCGACTTCCCAGAGAAGAGGCAGAAGGAGTTGCTGGAGGGTTTGCTCCAGGAATCCGAGGATTTCTGGGGGCACGAGAGGAACCTGGTGAAGCACAAGATGCCCGAGCTCTGCCGGTACTTTTACCGGACCTTGGTGGGAAGCAAAGATGCAACCCGATCGACCGAGTCAGGCACCTTCGAAATGAGTGCTAGCCTAGCAGCGAAGGAGATGAAAAGCCTGCAGAACACCAAGGGTGAGGTGAAGTTGGAGCACCCCGAGCGGGCCGAGCTGAGCAACTTGAGCAAAGTGGCCAACAATGCAGCCAAGAGCTTGGATGCCAAGCATGGAGAGTTGAGCTCGGAATGCATTGCTCTCGAGAATTGCCCCAAGCTCGCTAGCAAAGCGCCGGAGGTCCGGGTTACCCTGGATGCTCTGAAGAAGTTTGTGGAGGATCTTCGAAAGATCCAGGTCCTGCTGGATCGCAAGCTTCCCACGATGGACGAGGCAGCCTGCAAGAACGAGAAAGCCGACATGGAGCAGTGGAATCGCAATGCCAATGAGCATCTTGACAATGTGAAGTTGCTGCTGAAGAAGGTTAAGGGCTGGCAGGCCTAGGATCCACCGAGCATGGATCTGGATATCATGCAAGCAGCATTTTGCTGCAGTTTTGCGAAAGCAGCTTTGAGGCGATCCACGGCAGGCGAACTTAAAAAAAACAGTGCTTTGCAGCCGCGAATAGCATGCACTACATATTGTCTTTCAAGCTTTTGCTGAATGTTTTCTGCTTGCAGCCAAGGTCGATCTTCTCGAGCTGCAGACAGGGCCCTTTGCATGCAAAAGGGCGAGTGCAGCAGCAGCTCGCAGACTTCAGCCGACAACTGTGCTAGCTTGCTGTGCAGGGTATAGGTGCTCAAGTTTCTGAAGTTTGTTTCACTTCTGGAGCTGCATGTGAAGCCATGTACTCCAAGAACAGTCGTGGTTACAATGAGGAAGACGTGCCTGAGAAGAAAAGGTTTCGGGCCAATCTTTCGGATGCTTTTTTGTCTGGGCAGATCACAGCTGCCAGGACAGCTTCCCTTTTCAAGGATGCTCAATCTTCTGGTGCCAGTGGTGTGGACGACTTGGCCGCTGTACAAGACAAGAATGCAGCCAGAAGCCTAAGAAGGAAAATGTTGAAGGGGTCCCACTGGCCAGACTGCTACTATGCCGACATAGAGCTGCATGACCCCAAGCTGCAGGAGAACCGCCAGGTCTCCTTGCCGTTTTTGCTTCCCCATGAAATTCTGGGGAAGCTTTTTGAATTTGGTGACTCAGCCTGGATCCTGAGCCAGGATGTGCTGCAAGAGGATGCTGAGCTGATTGAGAAGTTTTCTTTGTCGTGCCAGCCAGCGAGAGATCCAGCGACAATTCTGCCACTGGGGCTCTGGAATGACGGGGTGCCTTGCAATTGGGACAGGTCCCAAAGCTTGGAAGTTATAGCTCTAAGTTTCCCATCCATTCCTGGCCTTCGAGTGCCGCTGTTCTGTCTGAAGAAGATGTTTGAAGCCAAGAAGTGTACCATGGATGCAGCCATGAAGGTTTTGGTGTGGAGTTTCGAGCAGCTGGCTCTTGGAAGGTATCCTTCTCGAAGGCATGATGGCAGCCCCTTCGATTTACGGGTCGACAAGGCACGTCTTCGTCTAGCTGGGTCAGATTTGCCAGTTGCTTGTTTGACACAAATCAGGGGCGACTGGAAAATGTTCAAGGATACCCTTTCCCTGCCAGCACACAACGAAAACAATGGTTGCTGCTGGCTTTGTCCCATGACACCTGATAAAGTGCACGAGGTGGATTTGCAGGCCTCCTGGAGACATCAATATTTTGATCAGGAGACCTTTATCATGAGGTGCTGGGAGGAGCACAGGTTCATGAGTGCTGTGTGGCAGTTTCCAAATTTTTGTCTCAAAGTCATCAGGTTGGATTGGCTGCATATTATGGATTTGGGTTGTGCTGCAGATGCTGCTGGGAATGTTCTGTACCACCTGCAAAGCAAGATGCCTGGTTCCAATATTACCAAGCGAACTGCAGAGCTCTACAAAGAGATTTCGCAGGAGTACAAGAACCAGGGTGTCGCATCCGATCGACTGGCCACATTGACAGAGACCATGTATCGCAAGGAAGCTGGAAAAGCTCCAAAGCTCAAAGCCAAAGGTGCAGAAACCAGAAAGTTGATACCTATTTTGGATGCTGTGTGCCGAAAGTTTTTGGACAGCTCAGGGGATCTGGATTCGGCAGTTTTGGCTTGCATCTCTTTGCTTTTGGCATGCTATGCTGCTCTGGATGTCGAGCCCTACGACCCCAGCCTCATGGAGCGAGAGGTCAGAAGGTTTGCTTTGCAGTATGTGTCTTTGAGGGATCACTTTGGTGACAATATCGCCTGGCGAGTTAAACCGAAGCTTCACCTCCTCCTGCACCTTTCGCAGAGCCCTACATGTCCAAAGGACATCTGGTGCTATAGAGATGAAGATTTCGGAGGAGCTACTGCAGCCATGGTAAGGGCCAAAGGCGGCCACAACACTCCGGGAAACTCTTCCCAGCTTGTCCTGGACAAGTTCAAAGCCAGAAACACCCTGCCTGTGCCAGCTGCTTGAAAATGATCGAGCGAGTGATCGACTGCATGCTTTGATTGATTTTAGGATTTAGGATAGGGTTAACGGCAATTTTCTGGAGCCTGCCTCCAGCAAAATCTGTCAAACTTGTTGTTTTAATTGAAAGCTGTCAGCCTTAATTAAGAGACGTACTTTTCATGTTTATTTAAAGCTGAAAGCTTTAAATTTTCATTAAAACACCTTTTATAATGTTTAAATAAAGGTTATAAGCTTTAAAAAGAGTTTAAAGCTTTATATAAGCATGAGATTTACGCCTGGTAGGGAAACTTAAGCATGTCACCTTATTTAAAGCTTATTGGAGCTTCAGGGTGCGTCGACGTCGTCAGCGGTGGGTAGTGCTGGTAATGTGGAGAGTATGCACATTGTTTATATCTCAAGACAGTAACAGTACCACATAAAACAACAGGGCCCTGCCCACACTGTAAACTTAAACCTACATGCAGGTCCCGTGATGGTGGCTGACTGTGAGCTCGATGGGACAATTTTTGTTCACACTGACGTTGTTTCCGTAATTTTGTGGCCAGCAACGACAAATGTAGACAAATTGGTATTGGTCTCTTTCGTCCACATATCATCAAGTCATATGTCGAGACGTTGGGTTATTCTAGCATATCGGTCGCACCAAATGAGCTCGGTAAATCCTGCGTGTGCCCCTGTGACATCGACATCTCGAAAGCCAGAGCCCTCAAAGAACCGTAGTGCTTGCCGAGTATCCTAGCTGTTCCTTAGGATTTCTGTTTTATTTTTGTTCTTCCTAGTGGCGAGTAGGGACCTCTAGACATATCCTTAGACTGTATAAGTTGTGTGCTTTATGTTTGGGCTCAGGCGGAACATTGATGCTCAGTAATGACCACATCAGGTCTCCAAGGCTTGTAGCTTCTGGTCAACAGAGCAGCGTAGGTAAGGACAGTCGGCAAAATTAATTGAATCCTTAGCGTGGGAAAAGGATTGGGTCTGAGGGTTCCGCTGTGAGGTCTTCATACGTGTAGAACCATGAGAAATCCTTAAACCTCGTTTAAAACCCCAGAAAACTCAAGTGGCAGCCAAGCTGGCGTAGGTGGAGATGTCGATGTCACATGGGCGCACGCAGGGTTTGCCAAGCTCATTTGGTGTGATATGCTAGAATTTGACTTGATGACATGGACGAAAGAGACCAATACCAATTTGTCTACATTTGTCGTTGCTGGCCACAAATTACGGAAACAATGTCAGTGTGAACAAAAATCGTCCAACGCCCTAAACCCTAACCCTATACACGAGACCCACTGAGGCACGTGCCTTGGACAACGTGACTACTTGAACGTGGGCTGTTCTGTACAAAATACAAGACATGGAAACTATATATCAACAAGCTTGAATACAGAAATCCAGCTACTTATTTTTTAGTTGACAATCATTCCAAGTATATCTTTATGTAGTAGCAACCTAGCGGGGCACACCAAGACAATAAAACTACGTGAAATTCCAGCGCCGCGCGCGCGCGCCGACGTGCCTGCTTGAGCGTGAGCGCGGCGACACATCGACAATAAAAGCCGGTGACGATCTGACAACGCGAGTTCCTGCAGCGCAGCACGTGGCGACATGACGATGTGGGGTTTGACGCGACGACGTGAAGCGCCTGACGACGTTAACGGCGTCAGTGGCGTCGACGACGTTAACGTCGTCAGCGGCGTCAACGGCGTCGACGACGTTAACGGCGTCAACGGCGTCAGCGGCGTCAACGGCGTCGACGACGTTGACGACGTTAACGGCGTCAGCGGCGTCAACGGCGTCAACGTCGTCAGCGTATATTGTTGGATTCACAGCGTCAACAGCGTCAACCAAGATTACGTATTGGCTATGGACATCACTGATTAGCATCACGGAGGAGATTGATAATTGGATGTATCGAGACAGTAAAGACGACATTTTGCTTCCAAAACCTCACGAAGGCCGCCCTGTGCTGTGGTTGCAGCTCCAGTTCTTGCTTTGTCTAAAGCCCACGAACGCACTCGACGTTGGCTTTCCCTGCAAACTGTCGTTTTTCTCCCTACCGGACCGGTACTTAGATCCTATGACGAGAAGAATCCGAGACATGAGCAACAATTTTAAGCATGTTTTGCACGTGGACATTCCCAACAGGTGGCTTGACAAAGAGACGGCTCAGGTGTTGGAGGGTGAATGTGTTAGCTTGGCAAAAAGCAGCTTAGACCGCGACATGCGGTTCAATATCAGCAACACTCTTCGCGAGCACATCAACCTTGTGAGTACCGCCGCTGTCCCTTGCGATCTGGCGGCAGACCTGCCTGAGCTTCCAGCCGAGGCAAAGCAGGTAGGCTTGCAGCGGCAAGTCGTATGGCTGGAAGGCCTGTTGAGGTCCACTAGCAAAGAGCAGGTGGCCAACAAAGAGCGAGCTGCTGCCGTAAAACGGAAAGAGTCGCAGGAGTACAAGAACAGCGAAGAGTACCGGGCCGGGAAGCACTACTTCAAGAAGCCGTTCATCATCACAGATGTCAGGAGGAGGAGTCGAAAGCAGGCCGCGAAGGTCTTGAACTCACACACTAGATGAAGCCGATTAGGAAGTCGGTATCTTTTTGCCATCGCATGACATGCTGGCAGTAATCCGGGCCATTTCAAAGCCATTAGCGGGGATACTTCTTGGATTTGAGGGGCGTACCAAGAAGCTCCACCGTTCAAAGGTCCGCTTGATTCTCACGTGTCGCCTCGGGACGACTTAAGACTTGAACTCTGGTCCTGGCCCAGGCGAATGTCGCCAAGTCGGCCGGTGCGCAGGAAGGCTATTCTCATTGCGCGGCTCCTGCTACCGATGATGTGCGGGAGCGGCTCATGGAACTTGCCCGGCACTCCACCGTGAAGCTGACCAAGTGCCCTGAGATTCAGGATGTATCAATATCCATGTGGGGCTGCACCGCTGACATGGCCTGCACCTCTTACGAGTTGCTTGGCCTGGGGGCTCTGAAGTTTGCA